TCATTGTAATAATTTCTAACAGTCATGGTGGCTAGTCACAATTCTTTTAGCTAGGAGCATCTGCCGGGAAGAGCGTGCCACTGGCGAAAAAAACCTGCGGGGGAACTGTGCAAAAAACGTATCCTCGTGCCGGCAGCCGGTACGCTTTCGACTAAGTTTGTAATTGCAGGTAAACGAATTTTGGCACAAAATCTAGTAATTGAAAGACCTGCTGTCTCAACTGGCCAATTTACTATGCTAAAGCATGTAAAAAGGAAACGACTTGCTCCAAAACAAGTGTATGCTTCTTTTGTTTTAGCTTCCTCATAATTCCGTTCGAATGCTGTTGAAGTTGATGAAAGCTGTGCTGTTTTATACGTTATCTGTCTTACATTTACTTGCGACTTTTGCGGCATTTGTAATTGTGCCGCAAATTGTCTGGAAAGCTGCCAAAAAAAAGAGAAAAAAGTAAGCTGTTCGTGTTAGCAGTCAGGGATTTTAGAGCATATATATATGTATGTGTGTGTGTGCTATACGTACTAAGTCATAAGTTGAAATACAGACAGACCAACTTCTACACATTCCTCTTTACATGACTTTTCAACATGTCATACAGTTTGTACCACATTAATAGCCCTACTGTTTTCCCCTTTGTAATCTGTTTGCTGTTTTCATCCTTCGTTAAAATTCATGGATTATGGCCATTCCATATTTTCCACTGTTCGCATTGGCCAATTACTTCAGGAATTACGGCTCGGCTACCAAAGGCTGCAAATTATTTATCAATTTAATACACTCCAACTGCTCCACTTGGACCGTCCACTTATGTTTGCGCCTTCTAATGGCCATTACTTATCATTGCTGTTGCTGTTTTGTGGAGCATTTGGGCCGACTGTGTAATGGCTAGCACATCACGATTCCTAGGGTTGGAGGGCTAGAGATGCGCCATGCCTGCTGGCACAAAACCAGTAGGGGTAGAATTTCGAAATGTTGTTGCAGTCTGTGTTTCGCCCCTTAGCTGTAAATACAGTCAGAGAAACGAAAACTCACTAGGAAGAGGTACTTAACGCGTATCTGAGGACGGGAAAATACACCGTGTCTGGGGGATGAATTACATGGCTAGGGGGTGATGGGTGAGAGGACTGGACGTGGTTGGAGGGTGTTGGTTGACAGTTGCCTAGATACAGCTCAGAGGACGCGATTGATGCCAGGGTAGTGGGAAGGAATGAAGTTGCAGTTCGTCTTCCTTCCGGCCTATATCTTTTGAAAAATTGGATCCGTACAAAGCAAATTTTCCCTTATTTAGATATCGGAAACAGAATTTAGTAGAAGTATTTTAAGCCTTTTCAAGACTTGATACTTATTACATGGTTTTGAAAACAAATAATTTGCATTTCATTTCGTGCACTAAAATTCAAAATTGGATTTACTTGAGGTTCAGCTCCAAACGATTTTATACGTTTTGATGAACGA